CAGAGCTGCAGCAGAGAGTCGTTGAGGCCCTAACCTCCCTCTCCCGAAGCAACTCCCCCCCCAGCTCCCGCTGGAGCAGCGACACCAATCAAAGCAACCCTAGGAGCCAAGAATCAGGCCGCCGCTCCTGGGCGGACGTAGCCAGAGACCCCCAAAACACAGCGCCAAAGAATAGGGGCAACGGCAGGCCCCTGAACCCTGCTAGGCCCCGGCCTGGCCCGCCCCCTAAGCCAAAGGAAGACAATCAAATCTTTGTCACAATCTCTAACCTAGCAGTGCAATTACAACAACCCTCCCCCTTTGTAGTAAGACAGGTAGTCTGTAGGAGTATTAAAGGAATTACCCTTTAAGATATCCCTACTGCATCACTAATTAACACAGGCTAGGTAATCACGCCTACAAGCAAAATAATTAGGGATTAACTCCTAACCTAAGAAAACTAGGAGCTTATAGTAAAAGCACTAGGTAGGGATGCAATTAGGACCCTAGAATACTAGATTAACTACGCCGTACAAGGAGTTCCTAGCTCTTTCTAGACTCTAGATAGCACTAAACTACCTACTACTATCTAGCTAGTAGAGGAGGAAGTCTGCTCACAAACAGGCAAGCAGCCAGTTAGCTGCAGAACCTCACAACACGGGGCCAACTAGAATAGCCTAACTACCTAGATTATATCATACAAGGAGCCAGTCCGCTTATTCTAGCTCTTTGGCACTAGCCAGTTCTCTAAAGAAATCCACAAACACCCTGCTATACAGCGACACAATCCAGGCTGCTAACAATACTGCAACGCCGCCCGCTGCACTAGAGTAGCCCGCTGTGGACACTGTGGGGACCGCACAGATAGACACCAAGGGCTCTATGGGGACAGCTGCCCTCATAAAGCCAAGTGTGCTAACTGCCATGGCCCTCACCCAGCTAGTCACTCTAACTGTCCTGCAGCCCCTCGCTAGGCGCATAGACACATAATTAAGCCTACTAAGACTAAACTAAACTCTATCTGCTGCGCAGGCAGAGCAACATACCAGCATCTCTACAGGACTGTAGAAGAAACCCTTAACCAAGCAACGTTGCAGCACAAGGATACCACCCTAGAGGACACCTAAGAGATCCTAGCTCCCTACTCTCCTCTCTAAAGGCAAGCACTAGAGGAAGAGAGCAGGGCAGCTACAACTAAAATAAGCAGCGCCTCTTAAGCATCCTTACCCACTAGCAGGGAAAAGAGACTAAGACAGGCTGCTGCAGGCTGTGCAAACCTAAATATAAGGGACATGTCTGCTAACAGTATGCGCCTATAATTAACTATCTACACTAACACCTCCACCTTAGAGAGGGAGGACACCAGCATGAGCGAGGATCCACTATCTACATGCTAGGACACTAACACACTACCTCTGCCCACAACAGGCAACAAAAGCCTAGCAAGCAGAGAAACTAACTCTGCGTATGCTAGGCCAACGTTAGCAGAAGCTCCCCCTGCCATATTACTATACTAGAAGTGGCCTTTCAGAAGGACATGGACGTAGTATGCGTCCAAGAACCCTTCACCTGTGCTAACTCAAGAACCTCTACCCACCTAGGCTATAGACACCTCGCACCTATTAGCACCTAGGATGCCCCTAACACACTAGGCTTAGTCCGCCCTAGGGTGATGACCTATATACGCAAAGGGCACCACCTGAAACTCTAGGCTAGAGAAAGCCTTAATCACCTAGATCTGCTGTAGGCTGTTGTAAACAGTGTCTTAATCCTTAACTGTTACAGACAGCCATACACCCCTAGCGTAATCCAATACGTTACGCATCTCGCACCTCCTCAACAATGCCTCATAGGGGGTGACTTCAACGCTAAGCATGAGTCCTTCAATCCTACCGCCAGCGCAGCTAACGGGGGTGCCGAGCTAGCTAGATGGGCTGCTGCTGCCTCTATGGACTACATCGGCATCCCAGGACAGCCAACACACCAAGCTGGCCAGGTCATTGACCTTACCTTCTCTAATGTCCCATTCGCACAGTCCTGAGTAGATGCGAGCATGCACAGCGGATCAGACCACAAGACAATAGTAACCTATGTCCCTACCTCTATAAGGGACATGCAGCACCTAGATTAGCACCACTACTAAGTCACAGAAGCAGGCCTACCTAAGTTTACAGGGCTTGTTAAGATAGGCGTCTAGAACATCCTAGACCTGCTTAGGGCTTATGACGCAGCACAGCTTGACAGATGCGTTGTGCTGCTAACAGAGGCATTCCAGCACTCTATACGGACAGCAGGCAAGCTAGATCGCAAGCAAGGACGCGCCACACTGTGGTGGACTAAGGAGTGCAAGACAGCCTACTAAGCCTACAAACACGCCAGACAACACTGCTGCAGCAGCGCCCTACTAGAGGAAACACAAGCCTTTAAGACAACAGTCCAACAGGCTAAAAGGCAATACTAGAGACATATTATTAACAATGCTAAGGATAGCAAGGATCTGTTTAAGGTAATTGCCTAGCACAAGCTTACACTAAACTACTAGGACACCCCTCTTATAATAGACAGCAAAACAATATCTGACCCCCTAGAGAAGGCAGAGGCACTCCGAGAGGAAATCCTCAACCACTACACAGCAGAAGACGACCTCAGCCACCAACCAGAGCAGGAAGCAAGAGCGTCTCTCCCTTAGAGCACACACATCTCACTAGAGGAAGCTGAGCGAAATACAATAGGGGTCTCCAGCACATCGCCAGGAACTAACCACTCTACAGTGCGACTGCTCCGCGCCTGCTAGGCCCAGGTTAGGGAACTTATACAACAGATCTTTCAGCAATGCCTTTAACTAAACCACTTCCTAGGCTAGTAGAAGCTTGCAGAGGTAGCTATAATACCTAAGGCAGGAAAGAAAGACTAGACGTCACCCTAATCCTAGAGACCTATAGCACTCCTCTCCTGTATTAGAAAAGGACTTAAAAGGACAGTGGCTAGAAGAATAGCGTGGACTGCCATGACCTACAAGATCCTTAGCCCCTAACATAGAGGCGCCCTCCTAAAGCGCTCTGCTGTAGATCTTACTGCAGCATTTACTCATAACACAGAAGCTGCGTGGGCTAAAGGCCAGCACGTCACAATGGTAACATTAGATGTGCAAGGCGCCTTTGACGCTCTCCTTAAGAACCGCCTTCTGCACTAGATAGCCTAACAGGGCTGGCCACAAAGGACTATCCTCTTTGTTAACTCTTTCCTTACTAATTGAAGGGTCTAAGTACGCCTAGGCTAAGCCACTACCCCTAGCCGCCCAGTCGCCTGCGGCACGCTGCAGGGCTCACCCCTCTCCCTAATCCTGTACACACTGTATCTAGCAGAGCTGCTGTCTATGGACACAAAGAAGAGATTTGGATATGTAGATAACATATGCTTATACTAAGCCTTACACTCCCTAGATAAGAATGTAGAGCTCCTAGCAGCAGACCTACAACAGATTAGAGCATAGGGCACAGCTAATAAGGTCACCTTTGCCCTAGAAAAATAAGAAATAATCTACCTTACTTAACAGAAGAGCAGCTACGCACCCCCCTGTGTGATAGACAAGCATTACATAATTAATCTAATCTTGCTAAACACGTCAAGAACCTAGCCAGCCCTCTAATAGCTAGGGATCTAGTTTAACTACAAACTTACCTTTAAGTGGCATGTAGCCACGCACAATGCAAAAGCGGCCAAGGTAGTCTACTATATCTGCAGCCTAGCAAACACAGCCTACAGACCACCAGCTAGCTCCCTTCGCAAGGCTACCCTCGCCTGCGTATACCCATCTCTTCTGTATGGGGCTGAGTGCTGGTACAGAGGCTGTACTAAACCTCCACGTACACTCAAACCTGGAAGACTAGCAGAAGTTAGTGCCTATGTTGGGTGGCACATAGCGGTTATGGACAAAACACTGGCTATAGCAGCAAGAGGGATCCTCCTAGTGTGGCGAACAACCCCTATTGCTACTCTCTTCCAAGACGCTGGACTACCCTCTGCTACTACTGCACTAGAAGAAGCTAAACTCCGCTTTGCAACACATCTACGCACAGTAGATGCAGAACATCTACTTGCCAGCCGCACAGTAGCTATAAGGATGAGCATAGGCAGGTTAGCTGGAAAGCTGCAGCGAATGCAGACCAAGGTCTAGTATCTAGGATCTCTTCTGCCTAAGATACCTAGGATAACACTATTAGCCCCTTACTACTTACCTAGCTATTACACAGACCCTACTATAGGCTTAGATAAAAAGTCTGTAGCAAAGGCTTTCTAAGAATAGTAGGCTAACCTTCTACCTTTAGACGTTACTATCTTCTTAGATAGCTCTAAACAGTACACAAAGGAAGGAGAAAAGTAGGTTACCTATAGCTTTGCTGTGTATTAGAATAGAAAGTAACTGTAGACTAGACGTGGTTCACTCCACTCTACCTCGCACGTCTTTGACGCTGAGGCAACTAGAGCGTGGAAAGGCCTCTAGCACACTATTAGACAACCAGCGCTCTGCACGCGCTGAATCTGGCTATGCATAGACAGCACCTTAGTTATATGGTGCCTTAGGGGCGACGCACCCCCTACCTCACAGTGGGCCTTCCTGGAGTGCCACAGTGCCATAGAGACACACGACATCTCAATCAAATGGGCCCCTGGGCACCTAGGCATTGAAGGAAACAAAGCAGCAGACAGACTTGCCAACCTAGAAGCCCAGCACCCATCACCCCTAACTGGAATAGCGGCTATGCCTACACTCTCAGGCATCAAGACAATAGCCCGCAAGATGCTACAGCACACGCAATAAACATAGTAGTCTAACAAGAAGACTAAGCTCTTAAAATAGTACAAGAGCTAGGATCTTAACTATACACTACGCAGCAGACTACCTAAACTAGACCTACTAAGAGCTACCCTAGCTAGACTGCTCTTAATCTAATCTATACACAGCAACTTTGCCTAGTACTACTAAAAGTATAAACACAACAACATAACACTTACCTACTTATACAGGCGCAACAAGACACTAGAGCACCTTGTACTCTGCTGCAAGACCTAAGGGTCCTTTAGCTAATAGCCACTCCAACTACCTATACCACTATCTAGCTATAGCAAAGGTGTAGCATATACTAGTGTGCTTATTAGGGATCTAGAGGCCTTTGAAGCCTTCACCTAACTTACTTAATACTATACTAAGGTCTGCCCCTAGTAGCTCACCCTGTGCTGCGACAGCAGCAAACAACCATACTCTTTCCTTACTCTCCTTCTTACTCTCCCTCTCTCTTCTACTCTTACAGCATTCTACTGCCTTTAAACACACAAAAGGGATTCACCCTAATGTATCTACACTGCTTAGTCTCCCTAACTGGCAGGGGAGCTGTAGCTTAAAACAGTAGCAATACCCGCGCAGGCAAGAAATGCTTTCTAAGGTAGTGTGTTAGCACTGTAATCCTATAGCTCAGCACGTCGTATATGCCCTTTGGGAGGCGAGATAGTGGACTTTATCCCTATTATCTAGACGTAAAATAAATACCAACCAACCAACCAACCTCTTCAACCCAACGTTATCCTCCAACGCTTCGCAAAGGATACCCCTGAGGCCTCTGATAGCAACAGCAGCTCTTCTTCAGTCTACTCTGGCAAGGACTGGCTCAAGATTAAGACTCTGTTACGCAAGGTGGCTAAGGATAAGAGCAGTAAGGAGTTAAAAAAGATTAGCCGATCACTCCACCACATCTCAATCCAGAATTCTCTCCTCCACCACGAGGTTAGAGGCCTGAAAGAGGTTCTAAAGACTCAGAAGAAGCACAAGAATAAGAGGAAAGTTCTGCCATTAGAGTCTTATCATGGTGGAGCAGAATTCTACTCTCCAAGCAGAGTAGAGAGAGCACGCTCACTTGAGAGGGCAAAACAACAAGACCAGGAGGCAGAAGAACTCCAAAAGAGTGAGAGAGCTAAGACAAGGAGTGCTAATAAGGCATACAACGAAAAAATTGCTCAGGAGAAGCGTGAGAAGCGGGCAAGAGAGAAGAAAGAGCGTGACCAACAGCGTGCTAAGGAGGCCGAAGAAGTAGCAAAACGCAAGGCTGCCAGAGAGGCCCAAAAACACGATAAAAACGCTGAGAAAAGTACCCAATTGCCTAATCAGGCTAAGCGGCAGGCCTCACGTCAATTGCAGCCAAAAAAAAACAAAAAAGCGTAGTGGTGGAGGTAGTAGTAGTCATGCTATTGATGCGACGCGCTCCCTATCACCACCACCTGTATACAACTCCCGTGGCCGCAAAATTGCTCCACGTAAGAAGTTTGGGTAGCCAGAACAATCGTACATCTGTATAGATTTATCCACTACAAAATCTCGTGATAATAGCTATTCTGTGTAGCTCTACAGCCTTATGTTTGCAGGTGCTTGTTTTGGTGTTTCGGGGCATCACGCGAATCCGGGCATCACGCGCACGGACACGGTATTGTCCAGATGATATCTTGTGAATCCTACATCAGAGTGGCTTTTGTGTCGCAGATGAAACTGGATCCAACAATACACCTCTTTACAGTCTCTAGATGCCCAGTAATAGACTCACATATATCATCGCTGAAGACCTCCATTTCTAAAGCTTGTTTCTGGTCGTTTGCACAACGTGAGGGGTGTCAGGACCGAGCTCCGCCCACTCGGCCATGCAAGCAACCTTGCAAAAGGCTCGTCAATATAGTGAGCCCCTGGGCGGAACAGTACATTTTGTCATCGCATCTCAGGTCAGAGGTGGCCATGTGGCCACATGGCCAAGCATGCCTGACAAGGGGGTGGCAACTTGGCAAGGCCGACGCCACTTCCTAAAGAATCTTCAGCGGAACACCCACACATCCTTGCAGCTTCCTCGCGACTCGCATTTGGCATAATTAAGAAAATTCCGCAGAGCCTCAGCTAGCTTGGTCTCGCGCGCCTCCATGTATGAGCTGAGCCTTCATCCCTCATGTCGCGAGAGCCCGCCCTTATCTCCGCTAACCCAGGCGACAAACGTTGAAACGAGATGAGGGGCAGCTGAGAGGGCTGCGAGTGGTACTGGCTCTTTATTGCTGTTGCTCACCTCAGCGCGGTGTTGCGCAGCGAAAGGGGGTTTGAGGCGTGATTGGTTCCGCTGCGAGCGCGCTAATATCGCCGCTCTTTCCTGACGTCCATCCACAGCGCTGCATCACTACTTCCTCAGACACTGTGAACCGGCATCTGTGATGAGCCATGGCGAGACACATGAGCGTGGTAGAGATGTGTGGTCTGCTCAGACGAAGCACGGTCGGTGGTTCCGGAGCGGCGTGGAAGTCTAAGAATGTTCTTTTTTGGCGCTCGTTGTCATCTCTCCTAGTCAACATCCGTGAGGCCATCGTGCCTTCCTCTACTCCAGCTCTTCTCCATTGCAGGCAGCGTGCTTCCCTTGACCAACGCACTGGGTCGTGGTCCTACTCCTCTTACTTCCTTGTCTATGGCTTTCACATCCAGTCCGCTCATTGCTACGTCTTTCGCATCTCCAATCTAGCTCCTTCGTGCTTGCATGCACTTGGCGCAGAAGCAGCTGTCACCTCATCCACCACAAATTGGCAAACCTTGCTAGCCACCAAGCTCCGTCTCGCAAGCTTGGGTAGATGGCGCGATGTATGAGCTAGTACCCTTCATCAGCAAACCTGTCGAATGTCCAAGTGAAAAAGGAAGACACCTGGAAACAAGCAAAAGGGCACGGCACTGGCTGCACAACCACATCAGCGTGACACGGCGGGTCAGCGTCAAGATTCTAGCAGGTTAGAGACGGCGACCATGGCAGCCTACGATGTGTACTCGCATTCACCTCAAGTGTCGGATCTGGCTTCACCTCAACACCGAGGGTCAGGACCGATCACACCAATCCACTCCCCACACCACTCTGTCCACTCCTCAGCCTCTTTGCGGACACCCCTTCAAACTCTCTCGATCCACGAATACCGCAAGCAACAAAGTACGCCCCATCCACGAATCGCAACACCTTCTGGTAAGACGCTCCGGCGAAAGGCCTCTGCGTTTGCTTTAAACGAGATCGAACGCGTCCCATCAACAAAGCCCACTCTACAATACGGTCCACACTCGTTCGCTCGCCCTCTGCAACCTTCCCACTCAGCGCATCAACTGGCGCCACAGGACCAAATTTTTGGCGTCCAACCTGTGTCTGATCACGTTTTTCGGTCTCAGTCAGCTGAACCGCGGACACAAGGAGGCAGCATCTCGAGTGTTGCAACTGTTGACTCGCAAGGGAAGGTACGCAATTTTGGCAACAGAAAAAGGCTTCCACGCCCGCCTGCGCCAACGGGCTCTGCGTTGTTTTTCCCATCTCATGCACCAGTGAGACCGACACGACAAATCCGCGCAACTCTCCCCGCGCCGCTCAGCTTCCTTGCCGAGGAGACCAACTTGAGCGACGCACAAACGACCCCGCCGACGCCTTCACTTTCACGATTCCCACAACCGCCGCGCTTCGTCACGCTCCGAGAGACCGAACGCGAAAAAGCAATCAGCTTCGCAAGCACCGCTCCGGTGACCCCACCCGCTACGCCTGCCACCATTCACTATCGCGGCGCGTCTTTCAATTTGGTAAACCCACACGACTCGTTGCAGTTCCACGACATTGTTACTCCTTCGAGAGATCTTGAGTCGAGCGAGGTATTCCCACTTCGGTCGGCACAGAGCTCGCAGTGGAGTCTTTCAGATGTCTGTAGCCCATCACCCAAGCCAGATGACAGCGTACTGACTAATGCACAGATGGCACCAAAGCGTCCTTTGTACGGTGATCTTAATGCGGCGCATGCAGGCATTATGCGGCGTGCTGAAGACTCGTTCGACTCGTCCATGCTTGAGTTACCGTTGCCACCGACACCAGCGGCGATCAGTCCAGGCTCGTCAACATACACCTCGCCAATCTACAGCCCCGAATCCCACTTCGCACCGTCTCCGCTAGCAGTCAAGAAAGCTCCGAACGAGTCTCGCTTCTCCCTCAGACAACTCACACGTACGCTTACGAAACGGCTCACGAGGCCTCAAGAAACCGGCGAGGAGGAGGAGGAGCTGCAGCAGTTCAAAGCTCAGAACACATGCGGTCTCTCCACAAGTGTTGACGAGACGCCACTGCGACCGCTCGAACAAACGTATATGCCAGCAGACAGGATGCCATACTTTCCCATCAGCCCGGTCTCTCCCACTTCGCCAGCCAGCCCTGCTTCTCTGCACGACCTGGGCTCAGTTTCAGGCGATGATGAAGACGAGATTGAGTTTGCGCGAAGGGACCCCGTCCGCGGCTACGACTCGCAAGGTTTGACCTCAATGCTTCCGGACGAACACTCCACTCAGACCGGTCGTGCGGGGAACTCACGTACTTCTGTCTTTGCGACAGAGTCAGCTGGTAGGCCTTACTATGATGATCGTGCTTCTACATACGCCAGCTCTTCGATATACACTGGAGATGATCACCGGAAGTCTGCTTGCCAGCAAAGCCTTGCTGGCAACCGCCAAAGTAATGTTTTCCTTCGGTACAGCGGGATGGATGCAGCGGGTATGGCGAACGAGTACAGCTACAGCAATCTGGGGGGTGGCAGCCGGCCGGTGTCGAGGCCACTCACCAAGCAGTCATTTCGTCGCTCGGTCGCACAAGGTGACGGGAACTCAGATACCATCAGCAAGTTTATTGATCAGTATGAACCTGGAAACACAGCAACGAATAGCTTCGCCACGCAGCCGCGGGACAGCGGCAATACTATCAGCTTGCTTGTTCACTATACCAGCGATGTTGACGAAGCGCCATTGAACGACCGGTCACAACGTGCGACCCTCATCCCTGGGTATAGCCAATTCGAATTTGGCCTGAAACCTACGAACCAAGCGCATGATATCGAGACTGCAAGTAGTATTGTACAGAAGTCTCTCCCGCAGGACTACATACGGAACCGTCGGCCTGGATTGCCTCCATCAGGTCCTGCGCCCCTTGCTCCGGCTTTCCAGTACGATCAGCAGCCTTGCCCACTTGCTCGACCCGAGGCCTCCGATATGTTCTCTAATGCATCGTACACCTCGTACGGAGACACACGTAACTTACTGCAACTGCCACAACCTGAAGCAGGCGGACGCAGCATGTTGATGCACAGTCTGGAGCCTTCATCCTCATATTCAGAGCCTGAAAACAAAGGTCTTGAACCGTCTTCGTCGTACTCGCAACCTGAAGGTTGTGCGAGCCCACAGACGCCACAAGAGGCACTGGATCAAGCCGAGCACATCTTCGACAAGGCAGCGGCTGAGAGGGACCCTAGTCAAGAGGATATACCAGCGATGTGGGGCAGATGGAGTTCCGTGAATCTGCTGCGCAACAAGAGACTCACGGATGGATCCCTGCGAACGATCGATGCCGCAAAGGCTGACTGGGAGACTGTTGCTGGCGACAGTGAACCAGGTCGAATGTCCCTGGACAGCATCGCCGGTTACAGTAGTAGTGAGGGCGGTCGGAACAGCTATGACCGACCGGCAAATGCATCCATCCCGACGTGGACTCCGCAGAACCATACGCGTGGACAGTCAAACTACAGTCATCCTAGTCCGCTGCCAATACACATGCACCCGTTTAGCTCATCACCGCCGCATATTACAACTTGTCCCGGCTCACAGACTGCACCTGATATGTCTGCATCTGGCCCCGCCTCGAGTTCACCAGCATCATCGACTGAGCCTGTGTTTCTCCTGTCCACAGAACCAAGATATGCGGTGCTAGAGCCCTATGCATTCGCCCCGTGGGCGGACCCTTATGCCCTGAGTGATAAGGAGACGCAGGAGTTGTTGGCATCTGGACCCAACGATGACATTTTGGTTGACAGCGACGTCGACCAGCGATCGGAACATCTCAGCTACAGGTTCAAGAGTCACGAAAGAACACCCCAGACCAGCTCGCCACGCAGCAACAACTTTCCTTGCTTAGAGCGTGAGAATACGTTCGACAAGTTCACGGTGGTCGGCCCAAAGGGCAACTTGACAGGTACTCCTCAAGGTACCGGTATGCACGATGCGGGTAGCAGTGTGGCAGACACCAGTAGCCCAGGTGCGAAGCTTAGCTCAAGCCCAAGAGCCGAATACGATGGATTCTACGCCTCACCATTTCCAGCAACCGGCAGTGTCACTCGCATACGGCAAACACGACCTGCTTCAGAGGATCAGCACGAGCGAACGCCGTCCCAGGTGACCCTCTTCCCTAGCGCATACAGTATGGAACCTGTGCAAGGCTCCTCACCACTTGCTGGTCCAGATCGCCGACGCAGTCTCCGATACTCGACTCAATTCAAGCCTGCTCGCAGGGCGAGCCGCACTGCTGTGCCAGGCCAGACCAAGCTCAGGCAAATGGTTCTCGCGCCTGACGCGCGATCAACAGTGTCAAGCAAAGACACCTATTTCTCTCGTTTCGTAAATGCAGGCGGCAGTGGACGTCCTTCAACGTGCGACATGGCCACACCTCTACACCCGACGCATCCTAGTCTCGACACCTTCCCTACGATTCGCAGCGGCAAGACCACGGTTGCGCACCAGCACTCGCCGCATCTGCTGTGTCCGGAGCGCGAGGTCAAGGAGGAAGACGAGATACGCCGCCGAAAGCTCTCGTGGCTGATCTTCGCCTGCTTTTGTATCCTGCCGCCTTGCATGTTCCTCCATAGGATGTGGGGAGATTCGATCATGGCGTCTGTTACGAATGGCGATCTCGGTCACTGCACGGCGAAGTCGAAGAGGGCGGCGCTTATCGCTGGGATTGTTGTCAACATTGGCTTGATCAGCGCGATCTTAGTCCCGATTCTCGTTGCGCAGGCACTGAAGGCTATATGATGGTGTTCTCGTCGCGTGGCGTTTCTCTTTCTTCTTCTCCGAATGCCAGACGGGCATGATCTTTGTTCTCTGTTCTTTTGTTTGGCATCGCATGGATTCGCGCACACTTGGAAGAGTTCTCCATCGGCGCCTGGTGGCTCGTTGCGTATGCAGGCGTCCGACCTCATGCGAATAGAGGTCATAGCATAATCACAGCGGGACATCGTGACAACATAATTAAATATAATAATCACGGGCCACGCGGTATATTCACGTCTTAATTCATGACCAGAATGTGTGAAAAGTTTCGAGGTGCTTGTAAGAACAAGCTTCAATTTTGTTGCGGTGCAAGTCGGTCCGACAGGCCTCGATCGTCACCTCTGTTGACTACCTTGGACTAGCACGTCTCAGGGCATATATATATGGTCGCCTCCTAGCTAGCAAGCAACTCAGCGCAGTTTTTCCATCGATATACAGCGGCTACGTTTGCCGCAACAAATTTTGGTAACGCCAACCAGATCCGGTAAAGCCATTATTGGCCAACACTCTGTCTTTCACAGTAGGATAGCACTCTGCACTTGTAGGCATTGTACCTAACAAATGGAGGTCGCTAGTCTGGAATACTGTCTGCGCTTAAAGTGCAGCAGGTCAAGGCGAATCTCCGCCGGGCAGCGCTCAGAAGAAACGAGCGGACGGGCACTAGAGGCGCAGGCGGAGACTCGCGGTCATGAGACGATAGTGCGAACTTGAGCATTTACCAGAAACAACACCATGTGAACAAGGGGCACAAGTTTCGTGTAGACTGGACAATCTGGTATTCATATGATCAAGCCTGAACCAACAGGCTAATGTACACCCCAGGTCGTAAACTGGCCATCACCCCCTACTTCTGCCTCATCTTCGCAATACTGACAACGTTCCTCAATGTCCCAAAGGGCAACACATCCGCGATCCTCTTCTTGCTCGCAAACAGCATCACCAACCTATCGAGCCCACACCCCCAACCCCCCGTGGGCGGCATGCCCCACTCCAGCGCCTCGAGGTAGGACTCGTCGATTGCGCCCTGACCTTCGGTCTGGTAGTCTTGCTGTACCATGAATTTGCGCCGCTGCTCAAAGGGCGAGTTTTCTTCTTCGTAGGCGTTGACGTATTCGCGGCCCGCAATGAAGAGCTCCACGCGCGCAGCGATGCGCTGGGATGTTGTGGGGCAGGTGAAGGATTTGCTCAGCGGAGAGAGCGCTTCGGGGTGGTGCGTTATGAAGGTGGGGTTGTGGCAGAGCGGCTCGATATACACCTCCGCCAGCGTGTCGAGAAGACGCGGTAGCGTTGGGTTCGGAGGGATGTCGAGCGAGAGCTCTTTGAAGAAGGTGAGCACGTCTTCTATTGCGGTGGGTGCACCGAGGTCGGGGAGGGTGCGGCCGCTGGCGCGCTCAATGGCAGGGATGAAGGGTAGTTGCGCGAACGGCGCGGTGAAGTCAATACCCTCTGGAGCGGCGAGCGTGGAGAAGTAGGTCGAACGGAGGGACTCGATGGCGCTGTGGAGGCCGCGGATGAGGTGCTCCGTTCTCTCAATCAGTTGAGGGAGTGTCGCGCCGACTTCGTAGAACTCGCACGTTGAGAACTCTGGGTTGTGAGTGTTGTCAACACCTTCGTTTCTGAAGGCGCGCCCAATCTCGAAGATCTTGTCTTGTCCGCCTACGATTAGCCGCTTGAGGTTCAATTCCGGTGCTATCCGTAGTCTGATAGGCATGTTGGACATCTCGTTTGCGACCGTTTCGAAGGGGCGTGCGATTGCGCCGCCGGCGTTGACGTCAAACATTGGGGTTTCTACCTCGAGAAACCCAGTTTGTATGAACGAGGTTCTGATGTAGTCATAGATCAGAGCACGAAGCCTGAGTGTATCGGCGGGCTCGTCGCTCGTTAGCGAGTGGATGTGAGGTCGTCGAGCAAGCGTTTCAGCATTGTCAACTCTGTCGGGGATATGATGAAGGCAAGGCGCAAGGATGTGGGGAACCTTTAGCGCGAGGACAGTCAGTTGACCTGACAGTGTTCTGGTAGGGTTTCCTTCGACGGCTTTGTAATTGTTAGTGTACGATGGGCCACGATAACTTTGGCTGACTTACAGATCCAGTCGCCGACCCTTGCAACCTTCTTCAAGCTCTTGAATTTCTCATCCGAGTCGTGTTCGCTTAGCTTCTTGCGCTCCACCATGATCTGGAGTCGTTGAGTATCGCGCTCGAGATCAAGGAACATCAGCTTGGAACCGGAGAGGCGCACAGAGCGGACTCTCCCGAAAACGGAGACATTTTCAGCCTTCGTTCCTTGAATGTCTGCGAACCGGGCGTTGAAGTCTCGGAGTGAGAGCGGCTCAGCACCCGCCGGGTAGATCAGTTGAGGATGGTACTCGCCCAATGGCTTGATGTTTTTCAGCTGATCAAGCCGCTTCTGCTTTTCGACATCGTGTGGGCCGGTGAACGCGTCGGCGCTTACGTGCTTGAACCTGCACTGCACAGACAAATAAGCCTGAGCGTACTGAGGCCTGTGTGAGGATATTCCTCGGTAGAGGTAGGGGCGGAGGAAATGGAGAGAGGGTCTGCTCATCATGGCTTCGTCAGTCAGCTTCCTATTAGAAGTAACAGTGGGGAGACAAAGGTGAATGTGAAGGGATCAGATATGTGCAAAGAGTTGTTGAAATCAATCGCCCGAAGGCGTCATTCGCAACGGTTCTATAGTTGTTCATCATGAAAAAAGGAAGTGTAGTTGGTGGTTTCTAGTGCAGCTTCGAAAAGACCCCAAGCTTCCTAAGTATGGATAGCATGAATTTCTCTCTTGGTCATGCATTGGAAGTCCGTTGAACACCTGCAGGTAATGAATGAAAATATGTGGACTTACCTGTGTTGTCGTCACATCTCTCACATGCTGTCAACAAACGAAACTGCAAATTTCACGCAGCACCGCGCGCACGAGCAGCAGCCGGCAGAGCCAAGGCGGCGCTAGTTAGTCAGCTGGTCCAAGCGTCTCTTGCTTATATACAGCTCACCCCCCGCCCCTTGAGTTTGAAGGCATACTTGTAATTTTCTGCCCCTTTCCACCCATCTTGATCAAATGCTAACTATTATCCAGACCTTGTTGGGATGTCCGAGATCAAGTCTTCGGTTCATCTACCTTGATCAGCTGCATTGCACAGCGCGGACTGGTTGGGGTACGGCTTTCCTTCGGGGACGCCGCCGGCGCAATTTTTGTTGGCCTTCCGCTCATGAGCGTGCTTTTTTCGTTGACTGCCTTGCATTTTGCATAGCGTTAAAGAAGAATTGTGCTGCTGCTGTCAACTTGCTGTCGAGATGCTCGCGATCGCCTTGCTAAGCACCTGCCTACCACAGAACTGTAGGCGCCACCTCATCGCAGCGCTGCACCTCGAGTGATCAGAATCGATGGGATTGACTTGGAAACAGCCTCCACGTTTGGACGATGCGCGGTGGTCCTACCCATATCCGGATATGCCTCTCGTGTTTCTCTATAGCCGTGTGCAGGTATAGCGGTGATTCTGGTCTTCGGGGGCATCTGTCACTTGGCAGAGTCTGTCGGGGATGACGTTGAATAACCTTTCGCATCTTCGAGACCTCGGGCTGGCATCCATGTATATATGCACTACTGACGGCGCGATAGCTCCATTTAACATGCGCTGCACAAAGCTCAAGCGCGTCAAGCTCCAACGCCCACCGGAAAATCTATCCGTGGCGCTGCACGAACCTCATCTTTTCTCACGCCATCCTGGCATGCCCCGAGCTTTAACGGCGCAAGTGGGTCTAGGATACTTCAGACTCACATAACAGTCTCAGAGCGAGGTACCATAGTTACGACATGGTCTCGACAGCTAGCTGGATCGCAGCTTCAAAGCGCGCGGCTAGCGGTGGACTACTCCGGTGCCACAGCCAACACTCTCACGCTCAGATGTGCCATCATGGTCCTCCGTCCGCAACAAGATAAAGCAGCTGCTCCCTCCTCTTCGAACTGCCGCTCAGACTCCTCGCGCTGACAACGCTCCAGCTAACAGGTTCCGCTTCGACGGCTGCCCCGCGTGCCCGCGCTCTCAATGATCATCTGCCCCACCATGACATCGCCATGACATTGCGAATAAATACCATCAGCTCGTGTAATGCTCGATATGGCCCCCCCTGCACCATACAACGGATCTGTAGCCTTCTTCATCAGGTCATGACGTGGAGCTAGACTGTCTGGGCGTGTCTACAGGGCGAATGGCATTCATGCGGCTTGTCGGTATTTGTGTAGAGTTGCGGCATTGATGCGTGTGCATTTACTCTGTTAAACTTATGTCATCGCTTCGCGCGTTTCGACGCGAAGTCGATAGAAAGGTAGGTGCGACCCTCTCCCTTGTGGCTCCTCCATCAAACCCATCCCGAACTCTGTACTTTTCAGCTATCCTTTGAAGTACTTGATACCTTACCGATACCCGACGAAGCGCAAACAGCACAACTATAGTTCAAGATGATGTCCCAAGCTGCTATGCAGCTCGAGAAGGCTGTTGGTCATGGCGGCGAGGCTATCACAGCTCAGAATGTTACAAATCCCGGCAACGATCCATCGTATGCCGACCCCTCAGGAGAGAAGATGAAGGCTCTAGCTTGGATGGGCAAGAACAAGGTCGAAATGATCGAGTGCCCCAAGCCCAAGGTTATGGAGCCCCGCGATGTTATCGTCAAGGTCACCGGTTCTACAGTCTGCGGGTCAGATCTGCATCTGCTTCACGGAACGGTAGTTGAACTGCAGAAGGGCGACATCCTTGGTCACGAATTCTGTGGTGTTGTAGATGAGGTCGGTAGCCAGGTCACAAAGTTCAAGAAGGGGTACGTTCATCAGTCCTCGTTTTTGAGATTACACTGACATGTCTTTCAGGCAGCGCGTAGTTGCATCTTTCCAGATCGCTTGCGGTGACTGTTTCTACTGCAAACAGAAGCTCTCCTCACAGTGCGAGAAGACCAACGACAACACAATCGAGAACACCCTCTACGGTGGCCGTACAGCAGGCATGTTTGGCTACTCCCACTTCACCGGAGGATTCGCTGGTGGTCAGGCAGAGTACACTCGTGTTCCTTACGGCGATGTCAACCTCCTCCCTCTCCCCGATGACGTCCCTGATGAGGAGGGTCTATTTCTGTCTGACGTCCTTTGCACATCGTGGCACGCGGTCGTCGACACAGGTGTGAAAAAGGGTGACGTTGTCGCCATTTGGGGCGCTGGACCGATTGGACAAATGGCTGCAGAGTTCTCGCTGTTGAACGGCGCGAAGAAGGTCATCATGATCGACTCGAACTGGCGATTGGACTTCGTGCAGAAGAACTACCCACATATCGAGACTATTGACTTCTCCAAGCTCGGTCAAGGCGAGTCGGTGACAAGCAAGCTCAAAGAGCTGGCCGAGAACCGTGGTCCTGATGTCTCGATCGAGTGCGCGGCTGGTGAGTACACAAAGAGCTGGGCCCACTACTTCGAGATGATGCTTGGTCTTGAGACCGACACATCCGAGCTTGTCAACGAGATGATCACCAGCACGAGGAACTTTGGCAGCTGTGGTATCACCGGTGTCTACGTTGGCTTCGTAAGTCGCCCGCTCCAGACTGACACTCCGAATATGATCTAACACATCCAGACAAACCACTTCAACATCGGCTCGCTCATGGAGCGTGGTATCCGCCTGATCGGCAACGGCCAAGCACCCGTTCACAAGTACTGGGAGTCGCTCCTAAAGATGATCCAGGAGAAGCAGATCCACCCCTCGAAGATGGTCACCCACCGTGTCAGCCTTGACGATCTCGACAAGGTCTACTACAAGTTCGAGGAGAAGGCTGATGGCATGCAGAAGGTCTTCGTTGAGACAAAGTGGTCGTTCCCTGCGTCCCAGGGCTCGCCTGCGCTTACCAGGTACTAAACGGTACGCCCTGGCAGATGGCTGGCGTCATGCTGGATTCGCATAGTTAATGAAACTCCAGTGAATAACGTTCAAGCAATGCTATCCATGCCCCGTGTCTACCCGTTTCTCTTTTTCGTCTCGCTGACCACGCTGTTTGTCTTTTCACAGCAGCTTTCTGACACTCGATGATACTGGTCACCGTAGGCAACATATACCGCTGAAATGAAGTCGACTGAGTCCCTGATGACAATGTGTTCTATTTGCGTGGACTATCGTCCTTAATGTCACTATGAATTACAACGAAAAGGATTGCACTGTCTAGAAGAGCAAGCACCAACATAAGCTTGTTGGCATACGTATCTCAGACGATTGTCATGCCACCGAGGAAAAAAGTGTAGTTTCTATCACTTTCCTTCCCACAACCTACTTTCAACGATTTTACCGCATGTGCGAACACTCACATACCTCTCCAGTCCTCACATAATGCCTACTTAACCGTGCAGTTCTTCGCACGGGGCCTGTGAATGCAGACCTCGACGCGAATATCTTACCTCCGTGCAGCACCTATTCTACAGACTCGTAAGAAGATGGACGATCCACGGTCCTAGCCCAATCTATCATACTCGGCGACGAAGGAGGCGTGGGATATAGAGACCAGCGTGCGCTTCGTGGCTGATGCCTCCAAACGGTTTCTAAGGGTTCGTTTTCAGTGACGAAGAGCGGTGATTCGATGGTGCCGATATTAGGGTAGACAGGTGCAGGTGAGTTTGGAATGGGAGCTGAAGGGAAGGGTGTTGCGCTAAGCGCTGCTGACGCAATAGCCAAGGGTACGCGCTTGACGTGGGGGCACTTGCATACATAGCCTTCACGTACGTAATGCGTAATACGTCGCGGGGTGCGGCGCGGATTGTAACGGAAATGGTGAAGCAGTTTTACGTGGGAGTGCCAACGTTGGAGAATGTCCGCGGGTAGGTGATGTCGGAGTATGAAATAAGAGGGAATTCAAGCGCTGAAGATCATGCAATGATGCACCTGTCTCATTGGCGATCTGTTTTAGTGTCGGGCCTTCTTCAACATCGAAGAGTGTTTCGCCCGATATGAAGTCGGGGGGTTTCTCATGATTGATGTCAACCATGTTATTAGTGTATTCGGTTCATACCACTCTTAAAGAAGAAACCCAGTGTCCGCGGCCATGCGTGTTCTGTTCAAAAAGGTGGGACTGGCTTCCAGTACATATGAGCGACACATAAAGAACGATACTAAACATTGTTTGAGGGCCATCATGACTTCAGACACTGTGGGGAGGGAAGTGGGTTCATGGCGAGCATTATGATCGTTGCAGGCTGACGTATTTGCTTCACCGTTTTGGACATCGTGCTCTAAGACAGTGCTGTGGTCGGAATAGGCAAATAACAATGCACTGGTTGTTTGGTGGTGCTGATTTGTGGTAAACGGACAGCTCTTGTCGACCTCGCACAATACTCCTGCTTGTGGATATGCGGTGTACCAATATGTCGCCGTGTGACGTTGTGTGCAATCACGTGTACGAGCTGTAGCACAGCCTCCCAGTGCCTTTCCGTAACCGCTTCATCCTGAGTACACTGCAACGCCCAGCCGGACTACACTTCCGTTGCTCAGCCACCAAGTGTACACAATTCTGTGGCGCATGAGATGTGTTTCTGAAGTGCATCGGGTTTAGGTGAGATCGGGCGGCATACACCCCGCTGTTTGAGAATGCTCCGCGGCGGCTTGGCGACGTGTGGGCAATTCAGGCGCTCAACCCTTACGCCTGATGCTGACGACGCATAACTATGTGGATGCCTTCGCAATCAGGCACTTAGGCGTACTTGTCATGCGACGATTTTGACCGCATGTCCATGGCTACCTCGTGGAAGTCGTTCTCGCGGCGGGCCTTTCGCAGTTTCTTCACCTCATCGTCGCTCAGCTTGCGTCCGATGATATCCTCCAGCTCTTTTTTGCTGATCTTTTGATGTGCCTTCTCTTCCTTTGTAGCCTTGTTGCGCGGCTTGAAGCGTGCCTGCATGCGTATGCGGAAAGTGGTGCTGAATGTGACGTCCTCCGCATCCCCGCGTACTTCAGGACCGCTTGTGGACGACTCATCGATGCTCAGGTATCTCTCACGCTGAGTCTGCAGGGAGAAGGCGCCGGGGTTATCCGGTATCGCGATTATGAGGAAGCGTTCTTCTGGCGAGATGGCGGTCGCGTTTGCGCTGAGGATGCCGTACTTGTCACAGCTTAGGTATCTAGAAGCATTAGCATGTAGGCGAATTATCAAGCGCAGGTGGTCGTACCTCCCATGGTGGCCCTTCAGGTTGAAGTCTTCCGTGCCAGCAACCCTGTTAGCTACAAAGACTTGCCGTACATCGTGCGGTTCGGCGGTGGTCGCGTCGCCGTCGACGATGTTTTGCAGTTCACTCGCAAAGACCTTACCGACCGCATCACATGCTAAGCATGTTGACTTCTCGGTAGGTAGAACGATGACAATAGGTCCGGTAATGTCACTCGGCGCGTCTGCGCTCACCCAAGAGTCATCGCTCTCCTCGTCTGCAGGCGCTGACGTCGTCAATGCTTTTGAGGTCGATTGTTCGGCATCGTCTGCGTCATCGACTCTCTTGCGCTTCTTTACTTTCTTATCACCCTTGAAGGCGAGTGGCTTGACCATGTCGATAGCTCTCTGGTGGTGAGTCGTGCGCATCGGAATTCGACAAGCACTACTCGGAATTGGCCGACGAGCGGGCACGTGGTCATAGCTCCAGGCAGAAATGGGCAGGTGCGATTGGGTGAATGTCAACCGAGCTCTTGTATCCTCGCACTAATTTGAAGGTATTTACGATACTAAAGGTGATAGACTGCAGCTGTGTCACGGACTCCGAACGTTCGTTAGAAAATCCTAATCGAGTATCACCATGGCCAGTGCGAACGCTGCTATCAACCAGAACGCTATTGCGGTGGGTCTGGAAGATCTCAAGAACGGTAAGAAACGATCGATGGTTACTGCATTCTGATATTCTAGACAGGTACTAACGGAGTATCAGACAACGTTGACTTCACGCTGCTCGAGCAGGCCTTTGGCCCTGAGAGTCTTGGCATCATTGTTGTGAAGGACCTTCCTGAGAAATTCCACAGGCTGAGGCACAAGCTGCTGTCATACTCCTCTGCTCTTGCCAGTCTTTCACCAGAGGAGCTCGGTATGTAGAGCGTGCGCGGCGACTTCGGCCGGCTCTGACATGTAGTTACAGAGAAGCTTGAATCACCAGCAGCAAAGTGGCTCGTTGGTTGGTCTTGTGGAAAGGAAACGCTCAAAGATGGCCAGTATGACACTCTCAAGGGCTCATACTACGTCAACTGTGCGCCTGGGTTTGAGGAGTCGCAGAAGTCAGTCGCTGACAAGTACCCTTCATTCTCAGAGTACACAGCTCCTAATGTCTGGCCCTCGAAAGAGCTTCTGCCCGGCTTCGAGTCCACTTTTCGAGAGCTCACTACACTCATTATCGAGGTTGCAGTGCTCGTTGCTCGCGCCTGTGACAAGTATGCTGAGGCCAACATCGAAGGTTATCAAAAGGGTTTCCTGGAGCACCTCGTCAAGACAAGCGTGTCGACCAAAGCGCGGCTTCTGCACTACTTCCCTTCCCCAGAACCTAGCAGTGGGGCTTCAGACGCATCTAGCGGTGAAGAGGACGATTGGTGTGCTACACATCTTGACCACGGCTGCTTGACAGGTCTTACATCTGCCATGTTCGTCGACGAGGCTGCACATGCGCCGCGGACCGGCGCAGCATTTGCGCTTTTGAAAGAGCTCGAGCGCTCGCCCGATCCAAAGGCTGGGCTCTACATCCACTCAAGGACTGGGGCAACAGTCAAGGTCGGGATACCGCGGGACTGTCTTGGCTTCCAGACTGGAGAGGCTCTTGAAATCATCACCAAGGGCAAGTTTAAGGCTGTTCCCCACTTCGTCAGAGGGGCTGGGTCCGGCATTGGCGGGAAAGTTGCTAGGAACACATTGGCCGTGTTTACCCAGCCTAACCTCTGGGAGAAGGTGGACGAGAGAAGAGATTTTGCCGCGTTCGCGAAGGAGATTGTGGAGAAGAACCACTGAGAGGCTGGAAATGACATCATCTGTTATCTGCATCTTGAGTCTTGACCGCATCTGCAGCGGCAGTGAGGAAGTGATGGCATTTGATGATAGAATCAAGGCCTGGACTGGAGCGCGGCCCACCGCTGCCCTGGCCGAGAACGGCGCTTGGGTGTGTTGGGTAGCGGATGCAGCCGGGCCCAAGCCTGCAGTGAGGAAGGAGGCGCGCTGCGCAAGAGCCTCAGCGCTGGGCACGCCAACAACAAAAAGAACAGCATAGCGCATCATGAACTCGCCGAGCCCACGACGATCAAACACCACACATCGTGGGGGAATTGGACGGATGAATATTTTGCGCGTCCTGCGAGGCTCCGACATTGCTATCTGCGGCGCCTTCATCTATCTTCGGGGATCTGACGCGGCTGATGAGTAGTCGCTTGACAAGTTTTATCTCGATCTGCGCCGCCGAATCACAGACACGCAACCTTCTGATTTCTGCGCCACACATTTGCTGGCTTCCCTCGGGGATAGGCAGCACGGGAGCCCCTTGGGGCAGCCGTGGTGCAACCTCTGCAACGCTGGACAGAGGGACATGGCCCACCTAATTTGCACCAGTCCCAACTGCTGCGCTCCGCTGTGTTCGGACAGTGGTCGTGTCCTCAATCTCGCCATTCCCTGCGGTGCCGACTCCCGTAAGGCTGCAAATCATTCGCGCGGGAACAAGCCATTTCCATTACAGGCACACTGCCAAGCCATTGTCGACATGAAACGGGTGGGGAGCACATGGACATGATTCTCCTACGCCCAGCTTTATTACGCGGCCACCCATGCGTATGCCGGCGCATCTTACCCGTTGCAGCCTGAAGGCCACTTAGACAGGTAAAACCCATCGTCACTCGCTGCCACTCCTGACAACCTTTATCATGCCAAGCTCCGTATCCGACTACCCGTCTTCGCATGGGGGAACTTGCTTTTACCCTTAGCCACCAACACTTAACCTCCTGCTTGGTTCGCGTGGAGCTGTTTGAGTTGCGCTATAGCTGCCACGGTCCCTCTTCTATCCTCTCTCTCTTTCCCTATATCCGCCGCGTCCTATACATCCACCTAGGGCCTCACAATTCCCTTGCTTCACTGGACTTCGTACTCGCTTGTATGACGCCCATACTGAAGGTCCCGCTATCGCTCGTTCGCGCCACAGTCTCCGGGTTGAAGACGGTCGACTCTGGAGCCTCTGCTAGCACCATGGCTACCAACACTCGACAGAACGTGACCTGGGTCGAGGTATGTCCCTGAACCATAACGCCCACATTCCTCGCCTAACAAACGCAGGGTGTTCGAGGAGTTGCTTCTTTCTGGGTCGTCGTAACACATCTGTGTAGGGCCTGGGATTACAGTCTCTGGTCTCCACGCGACAGCGAGGAGGCCACACCACAATTACTCCAGCTACCTTTCCTGCGACTACCATGGCAGGGACGAATCGGAGTCACAATGTTCGCTTTTCTCACCGGTTACGTATGCGCAATCAAACCGCTTCGACAAGCAAAGTCCGGCAACATTCCAGCCGCTTTGACCACCCTTGGAAAATCAGCCTTCCGCCGACCACCGCGCCTGATCATGCCAGCTACCATTGCTATGGTCATCGCATGGTTCTTCGCTCAAATTGGAGCATTCGAGGTTGCTCGCCTCAGTGACTCTCACTGGCTAAGGCGTGCTGTTCCGATGAACATTGGCGGCCTCGATACCGAAATTCCCCGTCTCTTCCGGAACTTCCAGGGTGCTTGGTCTGGTGCCAATAACGAATACGACGATCACCAGTGGGCGCTACTTCCTCTGCTTCAGGGCGCTTTCCTCATCTATGTGCTCCTGTTTGCGACCGTTTTTATGAAGTTCCGTATGCGCTTGTTCACCTGCGTTGTCCTGTTCTGGTGGTACTGGATGCGAACCAGCCCTGAGAAGGGTATGTCGGATGCTGTCTCTTGACTTGTCGTATCATGCTAATGCTGGTCAGAAACTTTCGAATGTCAATTCCTTTACGGCGTTATGCTCTGCGACATTGGCTCGGAGAAGGGCTTCCGCGACTTTGTCAACAGCTACCCCAGAATTCGCCGCGCAGTTCTCACAACTCTCATTGTCGTTGGATGGTACGTAGCCTGCTTTCCAGGAGAGCACTGGGAGTGGGCTAGCTGGTCTGTTCAACTGAAGAATATTGGTGATTGGATCATCCCCGAGGGCGCTGCAAGCTACCCTAAGCGCTTCACCGCCATCGGTTGGGACCTCATGGTCACCGGAATCTGGCTCTCGCCCAGCCTGCAGAGCATGTTCTCGAACAAGCTTTTTATGTGGGTTGGCCGCAACAGTTTCGCTGTTTATCTTACCCATGGAACGGTCTTGAAGGTCGGTCTGGTACGATTGATCTACGGATGGTCTACCGCACCCTACCACGTCGAACAGCCTGCGAACGGTGAGGGAGATGCTATCGAGCACTACATCCCACGCTCCCAGAATTGGCTTGTTTGGGCTCTGGCCATCCCCACGTTCTTCGTCGTCCAGTACACACTCGCCCACCTCTGGACCACGTACGTGGACTCGCAATGTGCGAAGGCCACCAAGTGGCTCGAAGACACCATGTTTGAGAAGGACGAGGACGAGAAGCATGGCGTGGCAAACATGGCATAAAAGGCATTTGACCTGCTGGAATCAGGAGCATTGCGTTTTGTTTTATGATGAACATTTCTTTTGTCACTACATCCGCGGATACCAACACATCGTTCTCGCATTTTAAAGGAGTTTATTGCGGGCACCGCCCTGGACTTACCAGGCGCACTAGGGAGGAAAGCATTAGAAAGCTTATGAGCGAACAGTTCGAAAAATGGACAGGACGGCACGGGCAAGAGCATGTCACGATATCATGTGTAGAACATGCTAATAGCTAATCAAAAGTATACAATTTCATATTCGCGCACATGATCTCTGGGCATGCTGATCAGGCACAGAATGATATCGTTTGAAGTAAACATTGCACATCAGTCTTTATGCCACCCGCCACGGTCAAAAGTTGTACTTTGGCTCCCTAGCCACCGCCCACAAACTCACCCGGACAACAACAACAACAACAACAACGCCTCACGGCCAGCCACTTCTCCTTTGTACCACCGCAATGACGTTACTGTGCATTCAGACGCCACATCGCCAATACTGCCAAGCAACGGCATAACGCTGCACGGAAAGACGGGTGCAAGGGTGCAAAGCCCGAAAATACAGCTATAGGAAGACGATGTGCCGACTTCCGGGGTTGGTCCTCTACGTAGTGACGTACTAAATGCGCCGTGGATTGTGAGACGTGCATCTAGACTGTGGAGATAATGGTCTGGTAACCACTGTAGATACACGCAAGTGTCTCGGCAGGTGGTGATGTGTCTCGATATGCTGTTTTAAAGATGAAGGGAGTGGTGTTCATGTTGCAATAATTCAAGTCAGGTGTCTATTGGGAGGCTACACTGTGAGGAGATAATCTTCCACCAAATCTGGGTATTAGGATCTTCTGAAGAGAGTAATTCTACTCATCTACACACCTCTCATATCTCAGCATGCAACGGGGGCGCATATGAATACAGAGCATTAATATACGCTATTCGAGAGCAATGTCTTAAGATTGAAGCTTCAAAGTGACGCAGTACCCACGCGTTCGGTAAAAGTGCAACAAATGTACTCGACGCAACGAGCGTTCCATCCGCATGTCTCGGGTGCCGCAGTCCTTACTGAGGCAGATACACCCCTAGAGCTTTGATAAATTACGAGTTCATCTAAACAGCACTTTCCCTTTTGATCGCTTAACGTTGGTATTAGTATAATGATTGATCGCTGAGTTCGACCTCGTCGCACAATTAAGATTCGTCGCAAACAGACGTCACCACCCCCACATTATGGTTCTCCGCGGTCACGCTCGCGTTAAGCGATGTTGTTACGATGGTGATGTTGGTGACCATTTGCACCAACGCGAGCGAACACGAGCGGAGCGGAGAGAGTCCCCTCCGGCAGCGACACAGATTTGCTGTGGCGGTGCAGGTGTCATAATACCCTTTCGGTGCCTGGTATAAGGCGATGCTATGGTTATCGTATTGGTGATGTCGAGATAGTAGGGCTTTGGAGAAGACGAGAGCCAATGCTGCTGATCCGAAGAGGTATTTCATCCCCGACATTGTGCTTTGATACCGTAGACAATTCTCTGGCTCGGGGGCCCTACCCTGAAGCACTTTCACATCTACTCTCATCCAAACCTCAGTTGTATGCCATTGGCGGTATCATACTGGGCACTGCTCAAAACGAACCATCGCCGAACGTTCAACACTTGGAAAGTAGGACGTTCGCAGCCTCTGTTTTCAGTGAACGACATCTATCGTACACCATACCTACAACCCCGTCTCGTCGAACAAGATGTTATCTGCACATCATGATTGTTGCATTCGATCATATTCTGGCCAGTCAGACTTTGGCAGTATGTCGGCCATGCTAGAAGTGCTAAGCTTGTGCGATATTACGAAGATTTTGGCGCGAGCGTTAGCAGAGCGTAGCAGGTATCGACTACGGTCCATCTTTCGATGAGAAGCAGCCCGTATCGTTGACAGACACGTCAGGGATATATCATGCAATGTTCCTGCTCGAGTGAGATAAAACGTTATTAGAGATCGTCAGATCTTTTTGCGCACTGCTGCGCAGCATGGTCATTGACGTCCTCGTTACGATCTGCGATCTGCTGCACATCAGTCCCAAGTCAACAGAAGCCGAGATCGAAGAAAAAGCATTTGTGACCCCCAAATCCTGGCGACCCTGACCCTGACCCTGGCCAATGGGCATCAGCCCAAGAAACTGGGCCTTTACGCACGCAGCAATACAGGGGGCATCGCCATCAGTAAAGGTATTACCAACCATGGACGCGGGGGCGGTCTTGGGTGGAGTGCTGATTCAACTGTTGTGCAGCGCGATAGCTAAGGCTCTTCGTTTTGAGCGCAACAGTACGGGCGCATCATCCTCACTCGAAGTGAGTTTGCTGTAATTAGAAAACTACTTCGGTTGCGGCGTAGCGTCCGTTGTTTGACCGAGCCAGCGATTCTCATTCCTGCACGCAGAAAGCTCCTTGAACCGCGGCGATTTTCGGGGAATCGCCGGCACACGAAGCGATTCTCCTTAGGTACCCCGCAGTAGCGCATGTTGGACCTATCTCTTCGAATTACACTCTACCGCTTCCCCGAAAATCAGCCTCGTTGCCGTTGAGTAACCTTCGCACGGCTGACTTGTTCCTATTGCCCTACATCTGAACATGGCTGATGGGCCTAGTGCCTCGGTGCACATTGCTTCTACTGTTCCCGTTACTGCCGCCAGCCACACTGGTCCAACCGAGGCTAAGCGCCGTCGGATCGCCCTTGCATGCGTTGCCTGTCGAAAACGGAAATCCCGGGTGAGTTTACGCCGCGTTGCTGTGCTGTCATAGTTCTTCCAAGCCGCAGCTCGCTGAGAAAATACTCAGTGTGATGGCGCGTCTCCGTCATGCACTCTCTGTAGAGACTTCGGTTATGAGTGCCACTACACTGGCGCAGCAGCTAGTAGTAGAATCACTGTTGAAAAAAGGTGGGTGCCTATGGCACTATCCTGCGATGTGATGTGGTCTTAAGTAATGCAAGCAGTTACATATCAACTCTGGAAGCTCGAGTGGATAGAGTCGAACAATGGATAGTAGGCTTGCAACCCCTGACTGTTCTTCCTCGGCTCAGCAGTCTAGGCACGTCAAGAGTCCCAAGCACAACGACAGCAACGTTCGAAACAAATATCATCCCCGCAATCCAACGGTCTTTCCCCATTCGATGAGGATGAGGGTGTCCGCAATAAGGCAGGCGAGGAGGGCTTCGTCGATGCAATGGGTGTGATCACATTCGCAAGCGAAGAGGAAACCGCATATTTCGGGACGTGACATCCCCAATATCGTAGGCTTGCAAATGCTAATCCCAGACACAGGCCCTTCATCGAATGTTGCCTTCCTACGGTATATCGCACGCGGTATTGCCAACAAGTCATCACAGCCCTGGTCACCATCATTCCCAGGCCGTAATCGAGCCTCAGATCATGGCTTTGCAAGCATTTGCCGGAGTGGACTCCCCTCTCCAAGTGACAGACGAATGGCCAGCCACATCAATCTGTTCGAGCTTCCCGCCCCTGAAGATACGAGGAGGTTAATCAATGCCTTCTTTGTTGATACTGCAACTTTGTTTCCCTACCTGCACCGAGAAACGTTCTTGAATGCATACACGGCTGTCGGAGACAACAATTGGACAAAAGTAAGACGTACCTGGCTTGGTCTACTGAACATGGTGCTAGCCTTGGCGACAAGTGCGGTCGTTGACTCCCGCGTCTCTGCCCCCAACCGTATGGCGGCATCTGATATCTTCTATAGGAGGGCCGTAGACTTGTGTCGCGAACGCATGATGAGAGGGGCGACGTTAGAGATAGGTGAGAAGGTTTAGGCCATCTAGAGGATCACATATTGACTTTGCTTTCCACAGTGCAATGCTCCCTGCTCATGGGTCAGTATTTACAAGGAACACATGACTCTGTTCAAGCATGGGTTGTGCATGGCATCGCAGTTAAGGCTGCCTATGCGCTGGGGCTGCATTGCAACCACGCGCCAGATGACATCTCGCCCCTAGAACGGGAAGTACGGAAGAGGACATGGTTTGGTTGTGTGGTGCTTGACAGGTATGTTTGATGGAACCGCGAATTGGAGCCCAGCTGAGTTTCGAAGGACATTAAGCATGACTTTTGGGCGTCCACCCAGTATACCAGAATCTTTTGTGCGCATCGAAGCGCCAAAGCCGTACCATTTGGTGGTACCGGGACTCGAAGAAGACCCGAATGAGTTTCTGACCGTTGGTTTCTTCAACGCTACCATGTATGTACACCGAAGATTTCATTCACATCTTGTTCTCACTATGACTAGTAATCTGTATCGGATCATGTCGCAGGTGATAGACTCCCTGTATAGTCAGAATATTGGATGTGACACCATCGAAACGAATGACACTATCCTGCGGCTATTTCAACTTGAGCAAGAGTTATCCAAGTGGAAGCAGTCGGTCATTCCAGAGCTCACGGTGCTATCAGTGGATGACCCAATGAACCTCACTTCGGCAAATGCATTCGGCAGTTCAACGTTCCTCAAAACCCGGTTTTCCAACATCCTCACTTTGCGTTACCTTAATCTACGCCTGCTTCTACACCGACCTATTCTGAACAAGATACTGAATCAGGATGCATCCGATTTGACAGCAGCGCACGAAGGTCTTCTCCTACAACAAGTTGGGCAGAACAGTCTCCAGACGTGTATGAAATCTGCTCATCTGATCATCGCGACTGTGAAAGAAGCAGTCTCCGGGTCCAGCGCCGAGGGTTCTCTTCTTGGTGCATGGTGGTTTACGTTGTATTACAGTAAGCCTGCTATCATCCATTTAATTATGGACTAAGGTCTGAGAAATCATTTAGTAACCTTGTGTAGTATTCAACGCCTCACTCGTCATCATCGTAAGCTTCCTTGGCCACCTCAATCTCGGCGCCGAAATGCGTTCTTCGTATTTCACGGCGGATTCGGTATTTGCCACGCTGCAGCAGGCCATCTCGACTATGAAAGCGCTGGATAACGACAATCACACCATCGATCGATGCTGTTACTATCTAGAACAACTGGTCCTAGTATGCGCAAACATCTGCGATTGTGAGTGTGGCCCTACCCGAGCTTTCAGATTATTATGTCTCTTATTCTGGAACTAATTGGGATGTTTCCTACCCTAGATCACGGATACTCTTCCCTGACCATGCCCGCGGGCATCGCAATTCAACATGATGTGCAGGTCAATGGAGGCGCCACATCACTAATGCCGCATAACCAAGATCTTGATTTTGGTCAGTTCTTGCTCGAAAGCGATTTTGACTTCGTAGCGGGACATCTGAACACCAGGCTGGGCGAAGAAGTGACGAGTGGGGCAGACATGTTGCAGAACGAAGGCAGGAGTTTATGAGCATGGTAGTTTGCATACCAAGAGCGGGTAAAATTCTGCTTGGACGAGGATCTGTCTTGTTGTTATGCATGACTAGTGATCGTCTTCCCTTACTACTTGATACCGGGCTCTTGCACTTTCGTTAGTGTTCTGGATACTGCAGACAGGGGAATGCACCAGACTTGATCGGTCAAACTATTCTCTTGTGTTGCCAATGTCCACACGGCAAGATATATGGTGGCTTGGGTAGGATATCCGGACTCTGGATGGGAAAGCAGACTTACCACCAGTATAGGCTTCGTCAATGTCCCTACAGCAACACCATGGCCAAAACAGCTGTACACCACGTCCGCACTTCAACAGAATGTAGTAATGGCACATTTCTTATCTCATTTCTTCTAACAGTTCATCGTTCAGTATCAGTAGTTCATCTTCTCGAACTCCTAAGAAGATACTGCAGACTGTCCAACTCGAGATTACAGATCGACTAGGGCCTCAATGTCCATGTCTTGCGTTCTATAGAATCCCAAAGACTTGATCATCGGCTGATCGTCAAAGCGGTATAAGTATGTAGTAGAGTCTGTGGTGTTGAAGTGCTCATACGCAGCCCATGTGGGCACGCAGAAGGTGTCACCTTTGGTCCACTCCAGCTTCTTATCGCCTACATTGCTGTATCCGGAGCCTTCTATAACGTGGTAGACGCAAGATGAGGTTTCGCGCCTGACTGGGCTGTTGCTGTTGGCGTCAAGCCTTTCTGCAGAACCTCCGAGTGTCAAGGAGACTTATTTTAAGGTCAGCATTATACCGCCTAGAAGGCTGTTCGGTATGACGTACCTTCTGAACCGTCACGTTTAAGATACCTTAAAGCAGCCCATGACCCTGATTCAGCATCCAGCTTTGCTTTCATACCGGACCAAGGGAACACAATTGGCGACTCGCTTGTGTCAACATCTTCTGCGGGATAACGCGGATCTTTGAAGTGCTCGAGGAAATGCACCGGAAAATGTCGGAAGTTCGGGAGGTCGAGCCCATCCAGCCAGATCATTGGTCCTGAGCCATCCTTTCCGTGGTCGTGGTAGTTCCATCGAGGAGTGAGAATGACATCCCCACGCTGCATCTTGATTCGTCGGCCGTGGACGGCTGTGAAACCTCCGGAGCCTTCGATGATGAACCGCATAGCAAAGGCTACGTGACGATGAGCGGGAGCGGTCTCATTAGGCATGACTAGCTGGAGCCCAGCATAGATTGTGTCCGTGGTGAAAGGGGCCTCTCGAGCAGGGTTGGGAAGCATCAAGACTCGTCGTTCAGCTGCCTTCTCCGAAATCAGCTCTCCAGCTCGAATCAGATTTGGCCTGATGCGGTCATATTTCCACACATAGGGTATGCAACGTGGGTTTGGCTCCGGAGGGTTCAACTTTGCCATTTGAACCCAGAGAGGAAGTGTGTCTGTCCCGTCGAGGTCCGCAATGAGTTGCTCCGCGGTGTCCTTGGCCTGTGTGGGGGCAACAGATTGCGTCATGGTATTCGACTGGCAATGCTGCTGGGAATAGAGTCGAGTTGAAGATGTATCTGGGATGTCGAGTTTGTCTACGATCTGATGAACAATGTCGCATAGATATCTAAACGCCGAACTATGCCCTGGAAAGAAACGGAACCAACCGGCGTGTTGGTCGGGGCGAGAGATGCCATCGGGTATACGACGGGAAGCTAGCCGGAAGCCGCATCCGGCGTATACGTTCGACCAGCATTGAGCGTCGAACCGCAAGCTAGTCGCTGCGAGATTCGCTTCAAAAGCCCATTCTATCTTGAGTGTGCATTCAGAAGATACATCTATCAGAAGATACAGTCCAGAGGGAAGATAGTCGTTTTTCGCCCAAATATTCCTCCCACAATTTCAAGAGATGCCATCATATCCAACACGCAGTCTTCGGTTCCTAGATAAACTAGAAGCTGAAACGGCTGGCAAAGGGCATCATGCAGAACCCGGTCCGCAGGCTCGTGTTGCTTTGGACATAATTGTTGCAGGTGCGGGCCTTGGCGGCCTTTCTGTCGCTGTCGCTTTGGCACGAAAAGGTCACAAAGTACGCGTTTATGAGCAAACTGTGACTCTCGCCGAGGTACGATTCATTTAAATTTAGGCTACCGCCTCCGTTACTAATGGTTTCAACAGGTCGGCGCAGGCATCCAAATCCCATCTAATTCCAGTCGCCTGCTTCACAAGTGGGGTCTGGAACCCTTCCTTAAAGACAAAGTAGTTGAGCCAGAAACCATAACGTTCAGGAGATGGGAGAATGGGACACCTGTGGGATTGACCAGACTTGTCCCAGATTTCCGCCGTTCGTTCGACGCTCCTTATTGGGTTGTCCATCGTGCGCACTTTCACCAAGCTCTGCGCGATCTTGCGCGTAGCCTTGGGGTGGAGTTACATCTCAGCTCGAGAGTCAAGAGCTACGACCCTACTACGCCATCTCTTACCTTAGAGAACGGTGCTGTTCATACAGCTGATCTTATCGTCGGAGCGGATGGTAGGTCCTCGCACCATAGCCTTGCTAAGAGCATCAACGCTAACTGCTATATACAGGGCTGAAATCACTCGCTCGAAAATCGATTCTGAGCAATACGAAGGAGACCCCCCCGGTCTCTGGATATGCTGCATACCGAGCAACTGTCAGCGTCGACCAAATCGCAGCTGATCCAGATCTGTCTTGGCTGACTTCGAGACCAAACCTTAATGTCTGGTGAGTATAGGGAACGCTCGCAGTGTACCATTCTCAAGAAAACCGAAACTGACGGAAGTTTAGGATTGGTGACAACCGACATGTCATGACCTACATGATATCAGGAGGCGAGAAGTTCAACATGGTACTTTCGCATCCGGAAACTACAGAACCCCATACCTGGAACAAAGATACGACGCTGCAAGATATGAGGAGTCACTTCGAAGGATGGGATCCAGCGTAACAGCCCTGTCCGAAAAGAGTCGTGCAACATGCTAATACTATCCAAGACTACTCAAATTGATGAGCCTGATTGACTTCACGCTGAAGTGGCCTCTGCTTAGTGCATCACCGCTGAACCGATGGGTTCATGAGGACGCGAAAATGCTCATCATGGGCGATGCAGCTCACGCGATGGTCCCTTACATGTCACAGGGTAAGTACTTGCACGAGCGAAATATAGTAAACGTGGGCTAATCCGGTTGCCCACAGGCGCTGCCATGGCAGTAGAGGATGCGGCTGCTTTCGCGGCGGTTCTGGAGCAGATAAGCGATAGGTCTGAGTTACCACGAGCTCTCTCCGTCTTCGAGAAGGTGCGAAAACTTCGTACAAGCCAGATGCAAGAAGCATCTCTTATCAATGCTAAGCTTTGGCACTTCGCGGATGGCCCGGAGCAACGAGCGCGAGATGCAGCAATGGCGCCCGAAGTCCAGGGTATACATTTCATTGAAAGTCCAAATCAGTGGAGCGATCCGCAGACACAAATATGGTGTTACGGTTATGACGCAGAAGAAGAGGTGCTCAAGGGATGGAGAGCTGAGAACTGATCTTACACTTGTGGAGGATATGGACTTCTTACAGAGTAGTGCACCTTGTATCACCCTCCACTCTCCGCACTCTGACAAGCATAAAAGTCCATGCATAGGAATTTCTCAGTCTGCTAAGCAAGCTTTGTTGAACAAAGTAGATCGGCTGGAGAGTTGTCGTTACTGGAGCCTCTCAAAGAGATGGGTGGGCCAGGGTCACATCTAACCCATGACTGTATGTATTTGATTTTATTTCAATCATCTGGTGATCTCGAGGTATCACCACCCTGAAAATCTATACACCCAATCCAATTTGGGCTCAACGATGCGTGCAGTACGTGGTGACCGTCACACTGGCATGTTTGCATTCACTTCCATATCTGAGCCACGCTATGACCCAAAGGCTACCCTCTTGGACCAGAATTTCAGTTCCGGAACTCATTCCGCCACCTATATATACCGTCAAATACACGTCAGAGAATACCCAGGAGCTGTCACTTATCAACGACGATACTTTGGCTCTATAGTCAAGAAGGCACAAACATTGCATCAGCACTGAAATAATACCGAGGAGGCAACACCAGTAGGCTGCTCATTGCAGTTTTGTACCGTTTACAGCTTGTGACAAGCTGGATAATTCCTGCTATTGGTCTATAATCGTTCGCCATGAGTCTTCGCAACTCATTTTACCATGCTACAGAGTATTGTATCCTTTAATGTTTCTTGACGTGTTCATCGAACCACTGCACTGCCTGCAAGAAGGCTTGCTCCTTAGCCCAACGAATGTGCGAGTTGGTAAGGTCACCCTTAACGGCGAAGCCGTGCTCGACATCAGAAAACAGATTCATCTGCCATCTGATGTCTTTCTTGAGGAGGATATCCTCTGTCTCCCGTCGTTTCTGCACTGGGAATATGGGATCGATTTCTGTAATGACGTTAGTTTCTGTCGCCAGGTCAGAAGTAGTTCCACATACCTGCTGCAGCGATGCTGAGTGGTCCCTCAATTGCCTCCACCTCTTCGACGGATACGTGACTTGGATGAGCAATGAAGCCGGCGTCGATCTTGCTGGCCTTCAAGAACCTCGTCACATACTTTCCTCCAAAGCAGTAGCCGACACCGCCAAGTCGCTCTACCCCATGAGTAGTCTTCAGATCCGAGATAACCCGCTCGACAATGGGATCTACCTCTTTCATAGTGTGTCCATTCTTCAACCACTCCATGACATTGAAGCCTGCCGGGCGATCCAACGGCGCTGGATCGCCGTTGAACAGATCTGGCACTGCAACAAAGTAGCCTCTCTCGGCGAACGAATCCGCGATCAGACGAACGTTGACGAATTTGTGGCCAAATATGTCGGTAAGGATGACGATAGCGTCCTTGGTACTGCCAGACGCGGGGTGGGCAAGGTATGTGTCGACTGGTTGTCTCGCGTGAGTACAAGTGCATACGCTTGTTGAAAAGACCGGACAAGTCACTTACTTCCGTCGACCAACTTGAATTCGCCCTTTGGTTCGCCTTCATGCTTTGTGCCTTTCGCACAGCACTCTCCAGGGGGATTTGAAGCCATAATGTTCCCCGTTTCGGTGCCAGAAAGATTTTTTCCGACAGAGGATAGATAGTATGAACAAGCTGTAAATTCAAAGACTTCACAAGAACTTGAGGTGTTCGGAAGTTGGCCGTGTTAGCTTGACCGAGCTAAATGTCTGTACTTGCCTCGTTCCAGCCGATGCATCCCCGAAAATCCGGGATAACGTTACAGCACAGCGCCCACAATGTCCACAGTACCGCTTCATTACTGTCGGATCAATATGCTTGGCCTACCCAACGATTGTTGCTCCGGGATTTCCGCGTTGCGCGGTATGCGCGGTACCTCCGGTAAAACCCACATCTCTTCCGGCACAGCCCCGGGCTCGGCCTAACCCAATTGGTGTAGACGAACAGAAGATATGGCTCTAGGGCACGACTTCAATTGGATTTCCTCTCTTGATACAAGTCTTCACAATCGCTCAGTACCAATACATAACTTTCGACAATGCAGCTCACCTGGAAGCGACTTATACGGTTCGAGGCTGCAGACGGCAGAATACTCTACGGCGAACCCGTACTGCCATCACCCGATTTCGATATTGGAAACCTCAAGGAATCCGACCAACTTCAAGCGAAAGTTTTGGAAGGCCCCTCCATCTACGATGCCAAGTTTTCTGGCGAGACGGTTGCTGTAAAGAAGCTGCTCGGGCCATTGGCCGCTCGGGACGTTCCAAGCATCCGTTGCGTTGGATTGAACTACGCGAAGCACAGTAAGTTCTTACCCATTCCTCCTCGCAAAAATACAGCCGCTGACGCCTTTGGAAGTCAAGGAGGCCGGACGATCTCCACCACCTTTCCCCTTCATCTTCTTCAAGCCGTCGACGACGATCCAAGACCACAACGGAGTGGTGGAGATACCCAAGATCGCACAGGACGATCAAGCAGACTATGAAGGAGAGCTGGTAAGTTCCCTGACTACAGATCACACACTTCCGTGAGTATGTCTGACACTCCCCGAACAGGTGATTGTAATTGGACGGGACGCCAAGAACGTCAGCGAAGCAGATGCCTTGGACTATGTCGCAGGATATACCTGTGGAAATGACATCTCGGCTCGGAAACTACAACGCAGCCCGGAACTAGCTGGCAGAATACCGCAGTGGGGATTCTCCAAGGGTTTCGACACATTCGCTCCCGTGGGGCCGTGTTTAGTGTCAACGGAACTGATCGAGGACCCCGACAAGCTCGATCTCAAAACCATTGTCGATGGGGAGATTAGACAACACGAGAGCACGGCCGACCTGCTTTTCGGGTGCAGGTACCTCATCCATTATCTTTCGCAAGGTACCACTCTGGAAAGGGGAAGCATCATCATGACCGGTACTCCCGGAGGTATGAGCCCCGTTTCTCTTCCGCTGCTGAATGTTATCTGACCACACTAGGTGTTGGAGCTGGTATGAATCCGCCGAAGTACCTTGTTCCCGGGACGCAAATGGATGTTCAGATAGAGAAGATTGGTACATTGAAGAACACTGTCAAGTTTGCTTAAAGATAAGCTTCTGCCAAGGAAAGTGGCCGGCTCGAATGGATCGCTGGTAAGGTGGTAGAACACGTCAATAGAAGTGCTCAGAATCGATTCTTCAACAACTCACAGCGACGATGTGCTCGGTTGGGTTGCGACCATCATTTCCTGCACAACCTGTTGGCATGTGGTGCTCGCTCGCCCAAACAACAGCATTACATTGGCTTAGTCGACAGCTGATGTTGCAACAATATGAATGTGTTGCAGCCAAAATAGAGGCAAAATGTACATACATTAGTACCCCTGAATTGGCTGGTAAATAGGCATGATATCTGCTGCGACAGAATGGAAATTGAACTGTTTGACTAGACATCTACAACAGCGAACCAGCTTCCCAGAGATCTGTCCTGAACTCGCTGCACGGCCTCCTCAATCTGATCTAGCGACCAGCGGTCTGTAACAAGTTCATCCATGTTGATCACATCATCGCGCAGGAGCTTCAAGACGAGCTCAGATTCCGCTCGACTGTGATTCCGAGTGCCCTTCATGGTCCAGCAGTTTACCATCCATGCCACGGCCGGCATGGGGAGCGGAGTCGTGTTGCCTCCGAGGTGCACATAGGACCCTCCCACCGCCAGTGCCTTGAAGGCCTGGAAGCCATCGGCGCCGCTCCCTAGCAGGTCGATGATAGCGTCGGCCCCTTCCGGTTGCATTTGCCCGAGTGCTCTGCCCAGTCCAAAGCTTTCTCTCCATCCTTCCTGCAGCTGATCAAATGCGACAAAGTCACACTTGACCTTTGCAAGAGCTTGCACCTTCTTCAGCCGCTCGCTGGAGCGACCGACCAAAATCAGGTGCTTGATACCGAAAAGGGGAGCCAGCTTGACGACGCAAGCTCCCACAGCTCCGGTGGGCGCGATAACGATCACTGTAGCCGCTGGTGGCAGGTTTGCCAGTCGGATAGTCCTGTACGCGGTCGCTATCTCGTGCACGCGAGCACCGACGTGGAAGTTGACATTGTCCGGCAGGGGCTGGACTTGGTGCACGGGTGCGCGGACGTACTCGGCCAAGCCGCCATCGCGATACTCGTTCCATCTGTCAGACCGACCGTCCTTGCCGAAGTACTGGAATCCCATGATGCCCGCCTCCGGGCACATCTGGTCCTCGCCCGCTGCACAGTATTTGCAGGTCCCGCAGCTGACGTTGCTGTGGATCCTTACCCGCGTCCCCACGGCCAGATTCTTGACGTGAGACCCTACGGCTTCCACCACGCCGGCCATCTCGTGGCCCAGAGTTGAGGGTAGATGTTGCAGCATCCCGGCACGCAGCAGGCTGAACACGCCTGGGGCCAACCCCACTGCTTTGACTTTCATAAGAACATCGAATGGGCCCAAAGACGGAATGGGTACTGTTTCCAGGGACATCTGTTTGCCAGGCATGGCACGGAATGCCTTCATTTCTCCTGCAGGTGTCGACATGACTTCGTTGTGGATATATGTGATGGAGCGTGACCGAAAAATCGACTCTGGCAGATGAGGGCAGTACGGCTGCAAAGGATGCGCGAGACCCGCATTTTATAGTGATGCAGTCGCAAGCTCCACTCTATCTCAGAGCAGACACCGTTGAGTCTAGACGCGGAGTGCAGTGTTGGCATCACTCAAAGCGCGGGGAAGGAATCGATCATGGGGGGAGGATTATGGTCGCGGGGAAAGGAGCCGGCGGGTCCAATAGTACCGTATTGGGCCTTCGGGTGACATCCCCGGAGGGCAAGGCTACTGACAACTTCATCATAAAACCACGTGCAGGTCGGCAACGCTTAACATTATCAACCAGCAGTCCCGCTCGCCTTTCTCTTTCGCCACTCACACCATCGGTGACGATTCATCATCTTCCAACATGGACATGCAATCCCCCCAGCCCCAGACCGGCAGTCAGGAGCCCAAACTCGAACGATCCATCACGCTGCGCTTCGTTGGAGATTGGGGCCAGGCGAATTTCCATCGCATCTGCTCGACCTTGGCTCAGGAGTTCTGCGACCGGGCCGGACCACGCTCGCGAGTTGCCATCTGGAACATCCGACACGGCGGTTTTGAATGCCTCACTGAGGTCGAGGATGGCGAAGTGGACCTCGCCATCGCAACGCCAGTCGACCTGATCGCACAGGCCACCCAGACTCACTCCCCGGATACTCCTTCCGCACGGCTCTATCCGCGACAGCTGCCGAACCTGCGTGCCCTGGCTGTCTTGCCACAGAACGACTCCATGGTGCTTGCGATTCATCCCAAGTTCGGCATATCTTCTTTCGAGGAGCTCCGTCAGAAGAAACCCGCGCTCCGCATCGCCACCAGCCGCAATGACGGGACCAGTTTCATCGGCCACGTTGCAGCGCAGTACATGGAGGCGCACGGCATCTCCGAGGAAACTCTGCACTCATGGGGAGGATCGTACAAGCTCGACTACCGACCGGAGCAGTCCCTGTTCGCCGCACAGGCAGGCGAGGTCGACGCCGTTCTGCAAGAAGCCATCATGACACCGTGGTGGCGCGACGTGATTGAGCAGAACGGCTTCGTGCCGCTAGCCGTGGAAGAGGAAGCCCTCGCAACACTGAAAGAGACGGTGGGACTAGGCAGCAACTCGCTCCCGGCGGGATACTGGGCGCCGCTGAAGCGAGACCTGCCGACGCTGTCGTTCCAGGACTTTGTCGTCCTCGTCCACAACGACATGCCCGACGACGTGGCGCATCTGCTGGCCTGGTGTCTGGTCGAACAGAGGATGACGTTTGAGAAGCCGTATCACCACATGCCGCCGCACAGAAGCCCGTTGACATACCCGCTGGATCCGGCGAAGATGGCGGCATCGCCCATACCCCTCCACCCCGGGGCCAAGCGCTTCTACCAATCGGCAGGCTACCTATGATCTTCTGGTGTTGTAGAGCGGTAGTTGGACATAGAATCTGTACAATCAAGTTTCCGACCAATGGGCAGCAGACCATATGAGTTTCGTGAGAGCAGCAGTTCGATGTATCCTCCGTCACGCCTTTATCAGGCCTGACTAGATATCAGGCCTGACTAGAAAGCAGGGGGTTCGGAGTGAACCACGTGATTCCATCTTCCTGTCCAGCTGACCGTGCGACGCGCCATTTCCTTCCAAGTCCAACAAACAGACAACATACCCCCACAGCAAACAGAAAACATATACCCACAGCAAACAGACAACAACATATCTACCAACCTCCGATCCCAGCACGATAAAAGCAAGCCTCGCTTCCAGAACTCCCCGATGATAAGTTTTGCTACACATCATTCCGGTACAGCGGATCAACTTCGACCTCCCTACTCCACAGCGCCCACGGCCTAGCCATGGTCCCTTTGTTCATGGCCCACGTATGCTGTGCCTCTGCTTCAGACAGGAAAACGACGGCCTCTGCCTTCGTTTCCGAGGCCGTTTGATCGTTACCTTGCAGCAGCTGCGCGCTCCGCAGCGCGAGCGCGCTGGTCTGCACGCGTGCTGCGTTCAGCGTGTAGATGGCGTAGAACAACGCTGTTTCGAGACTCTCGGCGCACGCGGTGAAGCCGTGTCCGCGCATCAGCACGAGCGGCTGCGTGGGCACGTCCCTTGCTACGGATTCCCGGGATTGCGCCCCGGATGCGTCTGTGGCGGGATATGCGGCGGCGAAGGCCTGGCCCAGCGAGGCGTTGCGCACGAGCAGATCTGGCTTGTCGCCCGAGCAGTATGCATCCGCAATGTCCCAGACGGGGACGTGTGTGCCTTTTGTGCGTCAGCAAAGGGGTTTTAGGGGGATTTGAACACGCGACGTACCCAGGAAGCCGGCCATGTGGATTGCGGGCCGGAGCGGGACGGGGGCTATGGTGAAGGGCAGGATATCAGGCGTGTGTGCGTGGACGACGACGTTGACGCCGCTGAAGCGCTTCATTATCTCGCTATGGATGTATCTCTCGATGAAGCCTCTTGGGGCGTTCTTCGCGATGGGCTCTGCGTCTTCAATCTGGTATTCCACCACGTCATCGGCAGACGAGACGAGCGCGGGCGGCATGTTGCGACTCATGAAGAAGGTGTTTGGGTTCTCAGGATTGCGGACGCTGATGTGGCCGTATGCATCGAGGATGCCATTTTTGTGAAGAATGTGATTGCAAGTGACGAATGTCCTCAAGAGCGCCTGCCGGGATTTGGTATCCTCGGACATGATTACAGTGTTGAAAGTACCGTGTTGCGAGTGTTGAAAGTGTTGAAAGTGTTGAAAGTACTGTGTTGCAAGTGTTGAAAGTATTGTGTTGCAAGTGTTGAAAGTACTGTGTTGCAAGTGTTGAAAGTACCGTGTTGCAAGAGTCAAAAGCACCGTGTTGCAAGAGTTACAAGCACTGTGTTGCAAGGGTGTCAATGGCTAGCTAAAAAGTCGTGGGAGCTGTTCCAGCGAGATGTGTACATGTGCGCGTGCGTGCAGCACTAGGCAAGGCGGACTCTCGTCGGCGACCCGCAGACCCGACGATGCCGTGGTATCCCCGCTCAAGTGGATTCCGACCGCATCAGTCCTTTGGGGCGCCACCGACACATTGTGATCAACGGGTCAGAATTGGATAAAACGCGCAGCGAGTTCCTCACTGCCGAGAACAGACGGCGCCAACAAAGTAAGGGCAACTATCAACTACCAACTACTCCAACATCAACTACCAACTACTCCAACATCAACTTCCAACATCATCACCGTCAAACCACCAAATGCCCCAGATCACGGAGCTCTTCGACTCGTTCCCCCACGATGAAAACGTGCGGAAAATCGTCCGCGACGAAGACGGGCTCTTCACGGTCCCGCAATTCCAAGGACCGATCAAGCTGCTCCAGCACGAGAACATTGGCAAAGTGCATTTCCCAGTCATCTTCGAGCCCTCGAAATTCGCACCACCAATGGGCGTGTACGAGAGCCAGTTCCTGCGGCTGGAGTGGCAGAAGATGAACTTCCGGCAGCCCTTCTACCACCGCAACGCCGACGTCGACGAGATGTCGTACCAGGTGTACGGCGGCCGAACGCTGATGACGGAGCAGGGGAGCGTGGATCTGCGCCCGGGCGACTTCTCGCGCATCCCTGTTGGCGCGGCGCACGACAACTGCGGCCGCGAGGAGATCCACTTGCTGTTCTACGTGCACCCCGAGATTACAGACTGCGGCCCAGTGGACCGGACGGCGACGTTTGCGCTCCCGCCGTACGAGGGCTGGGAGTCCAAGCAGGTCGCCGAGGTGCTGACAAACTGCCTCGGCGGGCCGGAGTGCGACATTGCTGCGTCGATGAACGACGAGACGCTCATCCTCAAGCACGCCGAGGGCCTCTGCAGTGCGGATCTGATGCCTGTGCTGCGAGCCCCGGAGGATGCGCAGGGTACGACGTGGATGTACAAGGGAAGCGACGTCTGGATCGGGCTTGCGCGGGGCGAGGCGGCAGACGGCGCAGCGTCGTCGGAGCGGACATACCGACGCCACAGATGCTGCGAGGAGATCCAGTGCCAGATCAAGGGGTCCAGGACTGTTGTCTCGCAGCGCGGGATCATCAAGCTCGCGCCGGGAGACTTTGTGAGCATCCCCGTCGGCGTTGCGTTTACAGAGATTGTGCACGAGAAGAGCGAACACGTCGTTGTTTTGACGGCCAGGCCGGCGCCGAACAAGGCACCGTTGGTGGGCAAGGCGGAGGACAGCACTGTGGAGCGGGTGAGACAGCTGTTCCCGTAGACGTGTGTTGGCGACTGTATTCCATAGACGTCCAATCCACAGCTTGTGTATTCCACAGAAGTCCATTCCACAGACGTCCATTCCACAGACGTCCAATCCACA